TATATAGGGACGCACTCAGGTGCGATAAGTGCCCAGGAAGGAAATGCGAACGAATCAGCGCGTGACACGTGTCCAGATCTAATAACTTAAAAAAAAACGTGGTGGCATTTTCGTAAATAATTGAACATCGAAGTGCAAGTAAAATCTCTTATAAGTGCACCTATTTTCACTTATAAGTGCATGTAATTTTGCCTTGTTAGCATTCACTTTCCGCAACCATTCATGCACCTGGGTGTGCTTATAACTATATGTGCAACTATTTATAACTATAGGTGCAACTACTTATAACTATATGTGCACCTACTTTCACCTATAAGTGCATGTAATTTTGTCTTGTTAACATTCATTGATCTGAGTTCAGCGGGTAGTAATACTCCTAAAAACCACTCGCAAACATTCATACAGCTAGATGCAACTACTTATACCTATGTGTGCAACTATTTAGAACTATAGGTGCAACTACTTAGAACTATAAGTGCAACTAAGTATTGATGCTCAGTGTAAATTTTTACTTGCACCTATAATACATTTTACATGCACTTGTAATACATTTTACTTGCACTTCGATGTTCAATTATTTACGAAAATGCCACCGCATTTTTTTAAAAAATCAGTGTTTCTCATCCATTAGATCTGGACACGTGGACGAACAGAATCCATTCCTATTTCGCGCCTGGGCGAGCCGTTCGCACCCGAGTGCAACGCTCATTGATCATCTAACAACGAACGAATAAGACGAATGCACACGGTTCACATTTTAAGAATGGAGGGCACCGAAAAATTATATATATATATATATATATATAGAGGATTATATTCAAATACAAACAGTGCGGATTCATTAGGATCGTTGGATTTTGGGATTGGATGTCCATGATTTAATTAATTATTTTTGGTAGTTTTTAATTATACGGTAAAGTGTTTTATTTTAAGGGGGCATTTTTGGATTTTTCCTTTTGGGTTAATCAGTTTAATTGTAGTGGAGTTACAATAATCAGTCCAAATTCGCGACTTTCTCGATCTCTCTCTCGCGTTTCCGTGTAGCTGCCAGAGCTATCTCCCACGCCGTCGATCTCCTTCTCCATCAGCAGTCGGACGATGGCCGGGTATTTTTTTTATATACCCCGGACGATCTCCGGTCGACGGGTGCGAATTCATTCAGTAGCAGTTCGTCTGGATAGTGACGGCGATTTTCTTTAGCAATTTCCGGCGCAACAACAGAATTTGGTTCGACGACAGCCTTGACTCCAAGCATTAATTTCGTCTCCAAGCATTTGAGTTCAGTGAGCGGCGCAACAACATTCTGGTTTCCTCCTTTTGTTTATCTGTTAAGGATTTAATTCAATTCTTTTATTCCAATATAGTGGGTTGAATTGCTAATGAGTAATGATGAAATACATTGTTTATTAATGTCTGTTCGGCTTTAGCAATATATTTATGATTTTTTTCTTCTTTAATTCACATGCACTGTGTTTTATTGTTAGTAAGAATTCATCAATTTCAATTCCAATTTGTTCCTTGAGAACGTAGTACTACGGTGGAACGCACCTAAATTCAATTCCAATTTTCTTAATTACAGAGCTTAATCACTTGCTAATGCTTAAATGCACAACTAATTATCCTGCTTAATGTTAATTATCTTGCTTAATGATTTGCTAATATTCATGTTCTTGGGATTTTCGAATTAATCGTTATTGTTAAATTTATATATTCTGTGCTTGCACACAGTTTGATCTCAAAGTGCACACATCTATTTATTTACTAATTGTATAAGCTAATGGTGGACTAACGTGGCTAGTGCACACCGTAATGTAGTTGTGTGCACACATGTATTTATGCATTAAGGGTATAGGCTAGTAGTGAACAAGTCACTTGCGCCAAATTTATGCAAGTAGGGTTACACCCGCGTACTCTCATGCGGTCGCAATACATCTATTTGTGCACAATTGGTTGTCTATTTATTAGTAACGAATTTATACTATTAATTACCACATGTGTATTAAAATATCATTGTCTACTTTAGGGTTGGTCTTCTGTGTGTTTGCCCAAATGCACACTATTATAATTCCGAGTGCACAGCCCTTCACTACTAAATAAATTCCGCACGTGTTAGTAAATGGATAGATGTATGCACGTTGGCCCCAAACTGTGAGCATGATCACATATGTACTTTTTTTAACACTACCTAGACCACTATTCCCTAGTACGTCGAGTAAAATAAATACATGTGTGCACATTTGCGTTAATCTGTGTGCATGCACAACTAAATAAATTTCAACCACGGCTAATAACTCAATAAATTTTACTCAAGTGACTAGCTCACCATTAGCTTGTGGCCTTAATTAATCAAAGCACGTGCACGTACTTGCGTTAAATTGTGTGCATGGTTAACTAAAGAAATTGCAACCGTGGTCGTTATCTAAAAAAAGTTCACAACAGTCGCTAGTTCACTATTAGTGAGTAGGCGTAGTAAATGAATCGATGTGCGCACCTTGTGGTTAAACCGTGTGCATGGAAAATAAAATAAATTTCAAACACGGTTAATTACTACATAAATTTCACATATGTGACTAGTTTGTTGTTAGCGAATACACTTAGTAAATAACAATAGTTGTGCACATTTGCGTTAACTGTGTGCATGCGCCACTAAGAAAATTTCGCCCATAGATAATATGTATGTAAATTTCTTAAGATTGGCTTGTTCACTACTGTCGTCCTATAAGATTAGTAACTAAATATATGTGTACATAGTAGTAATTATTTGGCAATTAACGCACACACATAGTAGTAATAAAGGTCTCATTTATTTGGCCACCAAATTCATCAGTACTAAGTGCAAGAAACTGCGTGATACATCTATGCACACAGGTTTACAAAGGCGTGCACTTACCGTCGAACAGCCTATTTCGTCATTTGTTCAACCATCCCATCTACAACTGTTAGTACCAAACCTTTCATTTTAATTTCACGCACACAGTTTTTAGCTACCATGCACTCTCAAGTGAATTGAAAATTAACCTGAATTCTAAATTGATTTAATTTAATTCAACTAATTTAATTGTTGTAAGATGTACCTGTTCGCACAGTTTTAATCCACGCACAGAGTTTTTTGTATTAAACTTCCTTAATTATAGCATATTATACTAATTAGAATTCCTTCATTATTTACGTGTTGTGGGTGCATTTACAGTATTGCCCTTTCAAGCATTAATAAGCAATCCGTGTCTCACAAGTAAGACTCCATCTAATCCATTCATCTTATCACCTCTTATGGCTAGATTTTGTCCGCATATTTGTATTTTAAGGGGGTTTGCATGTGAATGCAACCCTAATATATATATATATATATATATATATATATATATATATATATATATATGTATGTATATAATGTCTAATTAAAGTAATCGTCACATCAGCTGAGATGGATTAAACATGTCGTTTTTTGTTTAACATGATTTTACATTGTTCATTTTTTTTGAAGGAATTATGTGGGGGATGCAACACAATTTAAATTGCTCATAAATCCAATTACAATTTATTTGAATTGATTGACGTAATTATAATTTTGTATGTAGTTTAATGACCTATTTAATTCTCATTCTCAAAATAGATATATAAAATTGTTTCCAAAATTTTCACATAATAACCATGAATGGTTAACGGTTTGATTTTTTTACCATTTTGACATAACATATAATAAATGCTACCATTCTTTATATTCATGCCTATTCGTTAATTAAATGGGTGAAGATAAAGAAATTTTGAGGTAGGAGTATTCATGTACTTGAAAACTTTTAGATTGAAAGAGACTCACATCATCTTTTATATATATATATATATATATATATATATATATATATATATATATATATCTTAGGTCACAAAATAATATATCGCTTATCAATTCATAAATTTTATTGTAAATTAATTCTATAAAATCGTGTCATACAATAAAAACATAAGATATCCACATTATTTCAATTATTTGAATTGAAACAAATTAGAATTCTCAATTCTCTACAACGTAACGTCTAAACGATAAAATATATTCAAAAATAAGAGCATCGAAATGATTGTTTTGTCTAACTAACATTATTTTTTGTTTTCACTAATGTTGATTAGTTTTGTTACATAAATCAAAATGTTTTCTCTAAAATTGTAGTCATCTTTTTTTATGTTACAATAAAGTTCATTTATTCATTACTTATTATGAATTAGTCAATTTCATCTAACATTAAAAAATATTTATTAATAACCTGGAAGGTGTTGTTGAGTGAAATGGACTCATCCATCATTAACTAATGGTCATGTGTCCCACCCAAAAGAGGTGCCTATAATTCAACGAGAGGTAGTTATTGTTTCCGCGGTGAATATCCTGGATATACTCAAAAAAATATTTATTAATTAAATACGAATGATATATTAATTTAGTGGCATGAAAAACAAAAAAAAAAACAAAAAAAAAATAAATTCTTTGGCCATCAAAACTTTATAGGAAATATATAAAAACAAAAAACTTTATAGGAAATATATCCGTCGTGAATGCATACCTACCATAATAACTTGCCGAGGTAATCAGCGATCCATGTTAAATTGTCAATCACAAAATCCCACTATAGCAACAAATCAGCGGTTACAATACCCACGACAAATTATTCCGTTAATCCAAGTCCACATTGCAAAGTGGATATAAGTTCAAAGATATATAATTTATATATTAAATTTTCACAATTTATCTTTTGAAAATTCATAATTTGTGATGATCCTATATTGTATTCATAAAATTTTTAAACTTAAAAACACAATTTATATTTTAAATATTCACAATTTCAATACTAAAATACATAATTCAAGACCAGAGTTTACGTTACAAGGTGGTCCATGGTCCATGGTATAACAACTGCCCACCCACCCACCCGTCCCCGCCCTTATTTAAACCGTCAAACCTCAACCCAACGGCTACGACAACAAAATAATCTGCTTTTGCTCATCCAAACATGGCCTTTTGCCCCTCCGCCGGCGCCGCTACCCAACTCTCAGCTCCCTCACTCGCCAAGCCGTATCGCGCCAACTCCATACTCCAACTCCCCCTAAAGCTCAACAAACTTACACCTCGCTCGCACAACGTCCGTCCCGTCCTCTGTACCCTAACCGGAGAATCATCGGCAGTCTCTCCGCCGGCGGTTCTTCAACGCCCCGATCCATTCGGACGGTTCGGCAAGTTTGGTGGGAAGTATGTCCCTGAAACGCTAATGCACGCTCTCGATGAGCTCGAGACCGCATTCAAAACCCTGTCCAATGATCGAGAATTTCAGGTTTTTTTTTACTATTTTATTTCTTTAGATTTTAGCGAATTTGATATCCTGATTATGCATTGGATCATGTTTCATGTGAAGCATTGACTGGATTTGCCGAATCGGTTTCTAGATTTCGGGTTTTAAATGCTTTAACCTCGCCATTGAAACAGAGTATGAGGGAAATGTTATTGGACTTGAAAAATAATATAGAACAGTGAAATGTGGTTGTTGTAAGACAAAAAAAAAAAAAAAAAAAAAAAAATCGAAATCATGGCGGATTTAGGATTCAATAAAATTTGCTTGGCCAAAAATTGTAAGAAATGATAACATAGCTTCAATTGTATTGACTCATGGCAGCACGACTTAGAATGTAAAATGTTTATATAATTTTTGATTTATTTAGCAAAGCCTTTTAGGATTTTATAAATTTCATATATCTTAAGTTTAATTAGTGACAAATGAACTAAATGAATTTGTGTGTGTATCTTAATTTTCACCTATCAGTTGCATTAGTGTTTGATAGTTCAAAATTATGGGCAATATGAAGTTGCAGTTAACTTAATAGATGCAATGACTGCAGAAAGAACTAGATGGGATCTTGCGTGACTATGTTGGAAGAGAAAATCCCCTTTATTTTGCTGAACGGCTTACTGAACACTACAAACGTCCTAATGGTGAAGGACCACACATCTACCTTAAGAGGGAAGATTTGAACCACACTGGGGCACACAAGATTAACAATGCTGTTGGTCAAGTTTTGCTTGCAAAGTACTTGTGCAAGAAGCGCATTATTGCTGAGACTGGTGCTGGTCAGCACGGTGTTGCCACTGCAACTGTTTGTGCTCGATTTGGACTACCATGTGTTGTTTATATGGGTGCTCAAGATATGGAGAGACAAGCATTGAATGTCTTCCGGATGCGGCTTCTTGGTGCTGAGGTTTGTTTTCTCCCATTATGCTGCATTTAGCTATCCATCCTGTCTATAGTTTGATATGACAAGACATATATAGGCTTGGAATTTAGGCAAGGATGCTGCATTTGGACTTATTTTTTCTATCACTGTGATTGTGGAGTACTGACAACAACTGTATGTGCTTAATTTCTGAAGAAATGTGGTGCTAGACTGCTAGTAGTCCAGCTTGTTGAGTTTTTAGCTTTGTTATAATCACTTCTCTTTCTATTTTCTGACCTTTTATTTTATTGAGATCATGTTTTATGAGTTGAGAGCTGCAAACCTGCACTACTGTATTTAGTTATCTTTGCTATATATTCTTGTATTTGTATTCTCAAAGTGAGCATTTTCCCTCTTTTGTTTACTCCAAATTTATTTATTTTTTTTACTTATTCCAGATTGTGTGAATTTCTTTACATGGCTTTTCCTTTCATGATATGCTACTTTGACATCACATTTGGAAATGTACCATTGCAGGTTGTACCTGTCCACTCTGGGACGGCCACACTCAAGGATGCTACATCAGAAGCTATAAGGGACTGGGTTACCAATGTTGAAACGACTCATTACATTTTGGGATCTGTTGCAGGCCCGCATCCATTCCCCATGATGGTTAGAGAGTTCCATGCTGTGATTGGTAAGGAGACTAGGAAGCAAGCATTGGAAAAATGGGGTGGAAAGCCTGATGTGCTTGTTGCATGTGTTGGTGGAGGCTCGAATGCTATGGGCTTATTCCATGAGTTTGTTGATGACAAAGATGTGAGGTTGATTGGCGTGGAGGCTGCAGGTTTTGGTGTCGAAAGTGGTAAACATGCTGCCACTTTAACCAAGGGAGAGGTCGGAGTGCTTCATGGCGCCATGAGCTATCTGCTTCAGGATGAGGATGGGCAGATAGTCGAGCCTCATTCCATCAGTGCTGGGTAGTAACCGTTGAGCATATAACTATCAGTTTAGCCTTTTAGTTGAGACGAAACACATCCTTCAATTATAACTATAACACTTGCAAGCAACCAGAATTTCTCTATCCTGACCACACATTTTTCCTGAATATATTAGGTTGGATTACCCTGGAGTTGGGCCTGAGCATAGCTTTTTGAAAGACATAGGAAGAGCTGAATACTATAGCATAACCGATGAGGAGGCTTTAGAAGGTGAACAACATTTCGATTTCATTCTCTCTACTTCTGTGTTCTGTTTACTTTGGAACAGTTTCTTTTATGGATTTACTGAAACATGCTTATATATGCAGCTTTCAAGAGGTTATCTCGGTTAGAAGGCATTATTCCTGCACTTGAGACATCTCATGCATTGGGATACTTAGAGAAGCTGTGCCCAACTTTGCCAAATGGAGCTAAGGTTGTGCTTAATTGTAGCGGCAGAGGAGACAAAGATGTTCATACAGCTATTAAACATTTGAAGGTTTGATTGCAGTGTTTGTAGCAACATGAGAGTATGCTCTTATAATCTTGGCTGGCTATTAGGTTGTATCAGTAATGACTCTTTTTCTATTGAAACTATGGTAATACATAAAATAAAAAGAAAGTTCATTTGGAAATAAAGAAATTGGTTTGGAATTTCAAGTTCAAACATCATGAATGGCCTTTCTCCTCTTTGTCTCTCTGTAATAGTTTCTCATTGTTTTTGTGCAAGACTGTTCTCTGCCGCTGTTAGAGCTATGAATGATATTGATGTGTTGAATCAATCACCTTTATTTAATAATGTCTTACGAAGATATGCACCAAAAAATTAATTTTATGTTGAGCGGTAAAGATATAAAAATAGGTATTATCTTATAAACAATATCTATTTGGAATGGTTGGTGTTCGTTAAGAGTTTTCTGTGTCCAGCCCATTCAAAAAAAAAAAAAAAAAAAAAAACCTTTAAAAAGAGACAAGAGGATACAATAGAAGATGTGGAGCTAGATATGGAGTGTTTGCAAGCTTGTTGGGTAATGATTTGAGGTCCAACACGATTTTGGTACAATGAATACTTAACATATATTATGTAGTTGCATTTATTTTAGAAAACATGATTATTGAGGATGAAGATGATATGTAACTAATTGGATAAATGAAAGGGTTGGATCAATAGTAGAACCGTTGAAGACTTATTCGAAGATTTTCATCAATATTTATGTAGAAATTATGAGTTACATGACTTGCAACTGCATCATCAATTTTGTATAGATTTGCTTTAGCATATATATATATATATATATATATGTGTGTGTGTGTGTGTGTGTGTGTGTAACAATGACAATTAACTAATATTTATTTAATCAATGTTGTGCGGATTTGGTTATGCCCCAAAAGATGAATTTTTGAGATTGTGTGCGGCACAGTTAATATTGAGGTGGAATGCTAAATCCAAAAAAAAAAAAGAAAAAGTTAAGAAAAAACTAAAGGTAGAATGTAAATCATTGTAATAGGAATGCTGAATTCACCAAAAAAAGTGAAGGAAAAATTAAAAGTGAGATGTAAGAAGCCCCCAATATAAATCATTGTAATCGGAATGAAAAAGTGAAGGAAAAATTAAAGGTGAGATGTAAGAAGCCCCCAATATAAATCATTGTAATCGGAATGAAAAAGTGAAGGAAAAATTAAAGGTGAGATGTAAGAAGCCCCCAATATAAATCATTGTAACGGGAATGTTGAATCCACAAAAAAAAGTGAAGGAAAAATTAAAAGTGAGATGTAAGAAGCCCCAATATAAATCATTGTAACAAGAATGTTGAATCCACGAAAAGTGAAGGAAAAATTAAAAGTGGAATGTAAGGAGCCCATCACTTTAAAAGATTGCTCTCACACTATGTTGGTGAGACTCAATTCCTAATTATTCTTTCCAAACTTCACTCTGGTGACCTCCCAAACTTTACCCCTGTAACTAATTGAGCTACTCATACATACATATTTTTGTTTTTATATAATACAATATGGATTAGAATTGAATTAATTTCACTTTTGGTCCCACGACTTTAGAGGATCTATCACTTTTGGTGCACAACTTTAAAAGTTTTTAATTTTGGTGCCTAACTTTGTTGTTTTTATCAATTTTGGTCCTTTCAACCAAATTGATGACGAAATATTGCCGGATTTTATATTTTTAGGGGTAAAATCGCCATCCCAAGGAAACATCTTCAATATCTAAACAAAATCACTCTAAAATCATATCTATAGGTGTTTGATCGATGAGAATAATTGGGAAGACGGACAGAAACTAGACACATATCTATGAGATTTATAGCATCGACGATTGCCAAACTCTTATATTTCTCTTAACATGATTTTTCTTTTGTTTAGATATTGAATATCTTTCCTTGGGATGACGATTTTGCCCCTAAAATGTAAAATCCGGCAATATTTCGCAGTCAATTTGGTCGAAAGGACCAAAATTGATAAAAATAACAAAGTTAGACACCAAAATTGAAAAAATTTAAAGTTGTGCACAAAAAATGATAGAACCTCTAAAGTCGTGGGACCAAAAGTGAAATTAGTTCGATTAGAATTTGTATACCTAATCTTAATCATGTTTATGTTCAATTCATTCAAGAATAATCAATAAATATAAAATAATTTTGGAATATTATATGCCACATTATAATAAGATAAATAAAAACCAGTAAATAATATTTTCCATTATTTTAACTGTCAACTTATTATATTGGGTTTGCATTTGTTCAGTACAAAAAACAAAGCCAATATTTAAGAAAAGAAATTTATTTGGATTTACGAAAATACTCCGTACCGTAATAAATAAAAAAGTTGATATCATCGTGTGCTCTAACAGGATTAGAGGAAGAAAAAAAAGATCAAAAGGTTTGAACTTTGTAGTTGGGAGAAGAATTGATTCAGTGAAATGGGCGGAGGAGACAAGGACAGGGAGTGGGAGTTTCACCTGAGATCCTTATCTTCCGGCGCTCGGGACTCCAATGCCGCCGTCGATCCCTCTCTCCTCAATTCCGTCTGTCTCTACCTTTCTCTCTCCGTGTATATGTATGTGTGTATGTGCGGTCGATTCTGACGTATGTTGGTTTATGGCTTGGTTGTATTCAGGTCAAGAGGCTTTGTGAACTGTGCAAAGAGGAAAAATCGGAAGAATTGATTGCTAGGGTTTATCCCCATCTGAACAGGATATTTCAACGAGCCGTGTCTTCAATTTCCCAGTCCCAAACCTCCTGTGCCATTCTTCTACTGGTAAATTTTTCCCCCAATTTTACTTTAATTATATTATTACGTCTGAGAGAGTATGGTGAGTCTGTTTTCAGATGATAACGAAGTTAATGCTCCTCCGCAAGGAGGGGTTGGGTAATGTAGCATGAAGCCATGAATATTGCACTTAGCTGGTACAAGGTATCACCTATATTTTAGTGCCAGAGAAGTAATTTTTCTTACATGAGAACGAACAGGAGCATTGAGTCAATACTTAAATGATGCAATTTTATGTCAGAAATAACCAAAGAAAATATAAATTTAAGGTAGTATATGCAACTCCTTCTATGTATCTCAAACAGTTACCTTGAGAAATAATGTGGCTAGCATAAAAGTTTACATGAAACTCCCAAACTGGAAGTTCTGATTTCCATATTCCATAATAGAAGTATAGAACTGTGGTTTTTAGTTTTTTTTTTTTTTTTTTTGGTTATACATACATACATATGCGTGTGTGATTTGTATAGTTTTTGTTTTGCCCCAATAACTTTGTCTTTATATTTTTTTGTAAATAGTTTTTCTTGTGTTAGTCATATGAGTTCTCTATTATAATGTTTCTTGTTAACTAGGCAATTATCCAATTTTTTCTCGACTTTGGAGATGTGGTTCTGCATGATGCTGATCCCAGTTTGAGGACATTTTTTAGATCATGTCTAAGCCGGTGAGGACAATTTATTCCTTTCCTCATTGTGATAGTTATGAATCTCTCATATCTGGGGCAACATTCATATCAGCTCTGTGCCTTTGTCTGCAAATTACCTTCAAAGATGCAAGATTAACCTATCCTTGTTAGTGATCCAGTCACAAAATGAATAACAAATTTATTCAGTCTTCAACTTATGATTTGGAGATACTATTACTATATTGATGATCAACTAAAAAAATACAAGCCACTAAGCCTATAGGTGCTGTGTGCTTCTAATTATGGTTGCAGACTCACAATGTTAGATCTTTCTTTTCATCTGTGTGAGGTTTAGGCATTTAAAATTGTGGTAATAAGATCTTCATTTAGCTTATCTATTTTGCTTTTCTTAATGAACTGAAAGGTGAAAGTCTTGCTATTCAAATATCCTAATCTATTACAGTACATCATCACATACCAGTCTATAAAATGTTCATATTCATATATTAGCTCATTTTGAATATATTATTTGTCTGTGTGCCGATCCTTTCCTGATGCCTACTGCAGTGAGTTTGCAGACCCTGCTGTAGCTGAAGCTACCCTTGATTTTTTGAATGAGAACAAGAGAAAGCTGTTAAGTTCTTTCCCTGCCTTACTCCCTCAGGTGCATGTTTTGGTATCAATACTGATGAGTGATGGTTAATGTTAGTTTACATTAGTATTCTTAAGTTTCTAACTTATATGAGTATACCCCAACTTGTGCAATTATATTTAGGAGGGCTAATGTTACCAATATATGAGTTAATTGGATATTTTAAAGTAGACTAGTATGTTTTTGTTTAAATTTAGTTATGAATTGCAGTTTTTCCCATTGCTGCTGAAGCTGCTAGCTTGGAATGCAGAGAAGTAAGCCATTCATATAATATGAAGGATTTGCAGTTTTTTTATTATATATAGAGATAGGACTTTAGTACTGAACTCATGAATGTATATATATATATATATATATATATATATATATATATATATATATATATATATATATATATATATATATCCTTTCAGGTTAGAAAAACTATTTCTTAGAGTATTTCCTGGGTTGATTTCTTCAGGCTCATTTCTCCCACTGTTTCCATCACTTGTTGACTTGCCTAGTGAGTTGTACTTTCTACATTTTGTTTATTTTATTTTTTCATATTAATTTCTTTTCAATGAAATTGCTTGGCATTGGGTCCTTACTATTACTAGTGTGAGATTTTCTTAAATGCCTTTTACTATGATGTCTCTTTCTAAAAATGGAAAAAGTAGGGGTATTTTGGTCAGATAAATTAGGTTGGAGAAAGAAGGGAACAAAATGGCATGTGACAAAAATTCCCCTCCCCCTTCCCCGGCGGGGTTTCCCTTTTTTTTTTTTTTTTGGTAGAGTATTGTTGTTTAATCCTTATTTGTTCCTATCTTAGTATTCCTGGGTATTAATTTTTAACATTAGGTAAATTTTGTTTTTGTTTTCACCAGTATTGGTTGTAGCATTGGAAAAGATAGAGAAGAGTTCAGGGCCACTAGTTGGAAGCAGCATAGCTTCAATTCAGAAGAGT